AACATATTATTACGATGAATACAGAAGAGGTTAAGGGATTCTGTGCATGTAACTAAGATCCATAAAGAGTTGACTTTGAGTTCATCAAGAGGCAGATTATCTTGAGTGGGTTTCACTTTGTCAGATGAACACCTAAAGGAGAGAGCGTCCTGGTGGTTTTGAAGAAGTGACCTGTTCTGTTAGGAGAGAACTTCTGGAAGAGGCCATGGGGCAGAAATCTGTGGGCGTCTTCTCGTGGATGAGAAAAGTCCCTGGTTGATAGGTCACGGGAAAGCAGGGGCAATCATAAAACTACAAGTCTGCTAACAACTATGTGAAGTTGGAAGAAGACTTTGGGTCTCGGGTGAGGCCAAGCCTAGTTGACAATTTGCTAACAGACTTCTAAGACCCTGAGCAGAGGGATGTAACTAATCCACGTCTGGGTGTCTGGCCTACAGAACGTCTGAGATAATAAGCCATGAAGTTTGTGGTAAATTCTATGCAGAAAATCAACATAGGAACCCATTTCCTAAACATAAAGAATAGAAATATAGAGACTACTAGAAGTATACAAACACACACACGCATACACACACACATGCACACACACACAAACAAAAACACAGTCTTTATGAACCTCGAGTCTGTGGGGAGATACCGATGAAGTGATCAGTATTTCTCTGAATATAGTCAAGTAAGAGCATTATATAGACAGGCCTATATATATAATAAAACTCGTTATTTTTTATTCATTAAGTCCCTTGGATGAAATTCACCAAACTGTAACTCAGCAAAGACAGGAAGATCTCCAATGTCCCACCTTATTCTTCTCCCTTCCTTTGGAGCCAGCTACATCATCTTTCTCCCTTTGCTTCTAACATTAAATGATCTGTGTACCTTGATGAAAGCATTAAGGTGAAAAGGGAAGCAATTGAAATTGCCTCTGGAAAGGAAGAATTTCAAGTTTCACAAACTTCCCTGGACCATTCTGAGCTGACTATATGAGTGTCCAAAGTATACACAAATACTAATGAGTTCCTATACCATCATTATTTTCTATACTCTGACTTCTCCACTAGGCTACCACTTTCTTTAAAACTTAGATTTTTGTCTTAGTAACCTCAAAGACCAAGAAGTATTCTGACCAAATTTCGATGGCTGGAAAACATAGGTTAATGCACTATTATGTTTGAAGATGGACACTTTCTTTTAAAGTTTTATACCTTCAAAAAAAAGTACCTTTCTTAAGTGGTTCTTCATGACAAATATTGGTCCTGAAAAATTATTAAAAATATTCTTTTGTGTTCTCTTATAATTTTTTGTTTGGATTAATATTTGTGTACTTAAAATCTACTCAGAAAAGTTTTTTTTTTTTTTAAAGAGATTTTTGCCATAAAGCGTGGGCACTCACTGGACAGAGACAGACAGAGGGACAGAAATTGAGAAATCACTCCCCAGGGAGGATGGCCAAGCTGCAATCCCTTCTCCATTCTTTTCTCAGGATCTTGTGCATGCACAAACAAATGCCCAAAGTGAGTTTTAAGCTGCCAGGTATGGGACTCGAGCTGTGCTCAACTATGTGAGAGTCCAGCAATGTAACCATTATGCCATATTCTGGCCATAATATAAAAAAAATGCATTAAACATGTTTGAAAACTATGTAGAAGTGAACTATATGCAGGTCATAATGTTAAAAACGTGTATGTGTATAAATATATGTATGTGTGTAAGTGTGTGTATGTGTATGTGTGTAAGTATGTGCATGTTTGTGAGTTTATGCATGTGTGTGTGTGAGTTTATGTATGTGTGTAAGTATGTGTATGTGCACATCCTAGAGTGTTTCAAGAGGGAAGTGTTGCTACATGTAATAATTTGAAGAAATGCAGTGGACTTATTTCCCCCCAAATGGGGTAAACATACTCAACATTTGAAAGGTGTCAGTTTTTCTAAGTCTATTTATGCTTGAATTACACACTAACCAGAAGAACATATTTCAAGAGTAAATACAGTGTAGTGCTACTTTATATAAAAAAAAGTGCCAATAATGTTTATAAATTGTATTACACAACAGAAAAAATAGTTTTAATTAATGGTCCATAATTGCCTTTCAATCTTGACAAAGAGCTCACTCTTTAAATATTAAAAGAAAAATATTCAATTATGAACAATGATAAAGTGTCAGAAAGTGATAAAATATATGAACTTCTTTTATGTTGCTCTGTGATAATATCTCAACTGATAAGTTAGAAAGATTATATTATTGGTGTCTACATTGCCTTGATTTTTCTGGGAGAATTTTTAGATGATAAGTTGCTTTAGTTCTTTTCATCATGATATTAAATCAATAAAGGTTAATAACAGCAGTACCTGTTGGCTAAGTTAATAAGGTATATTGCCAGAGTTATAATTTGAGCTTCTATTTTTTAATCAGAATTGCCCAAAATAAAATATAATAAGAAATTAGAATGGCTATAATATATATCTCCCAAATAAAGCAGAAAATATAGTAAGTCAACAAATTTTATGCTGAGCATAATAGCATTATTTATTTTCCAGCATAGTTTTTATTTGAGTGGTTGATAATCTTGTGAATTTAAAACTTGCAAATAGTTTTAGCTTGCAAAAGGAAATAAATAACTGCTACAAAAATATCAAGAGAAGACAGGTGATCACAGGAAATGAGTTTCAGGGATACTAATTTTACTCACTAAAATTGGATCAAAAAGAAAAGATGACATAATAAGATAAAGTAAACATTTAGCTGGAAAAAATGGTATACTCATGATTCTAGCTATACTAATATTTATGGCCAACATTTTGCATAAGATATTTATTTTAAATTCCAGAGTATTTGTTATCCTGCAATTAAAAAAAAAAGTAAGTGAAAATGACAATTCTCTTTCACTGAATGGGGTTTCTTAGAAGGAATGGTGTTCATTGAATGTCAGCCAAATCTTGCTATAGTCAACCTTGATTTGCTACTTATCACTGAAATCTGCTTCATGGATTGTCAGATTTCATACAAACTAGCTCCCTCCAGGAATCCTCCATGCCTTGCAGAGGATGAACTAAGCGTGGTTTTTAACAGAGTTTTAGATGTTTCATTTGGTCTTCTGAAAAAGGGATTTTAAATTTCTAATCTATTTTTATTAATATGAATGTGTAGCTGAAATAGAAAAAGCTATTCTTAAGTGCCTCCATCCCTCTTCCATGCCTTCCCGGTTATCATGTTCTAGTGAGTCAGGAAGAGGCCAATATATTCCCATGCCGATGACTTAAAGTCCCCTCATTAGCAACTGATATGTAAATGCACCTGTGAACTGATTCCTGGAGCTGTGCTGGGGTGATTCACTATACATTGCCCTCCATTCAACTTCAGATGACACTGAGGTAAGCAGTCATCCATTTCCAATGAATTCATTTTCATAGAGCATTCAGAAGCAATGCTTAAACCTCTTGGTTCCAAATGTCCAACTTCAAGAACAAGCATCCCCATGGAGTAACTGTTAAGTTCCCCAGGCGACCAATAGTAGTGGTCACCATCAGGCATGGTTAATGACAATGGTGGTGATTTGGGTAGTGGTGGTGGTAGTAGTGGCCACCATAGTGCTAAGGACTTGGAATTGTCCTACAATATATTTTGCTATTATTGTGTAAAGAGATATTTAAGAGCACTGGATTTCACTCATTCCATCTTACACAACGAGGATATAAAAGGGAGAAATACGGTTAGGCCTCCAGGAAAAAACCCAGGAAACAAAAACCAAAACACTGAAGTGGTGACCAAATGCCTCTATCAAGAGCCATGGTAAAGCTGGATGTCAAAAACCAAAGTGGAACAAAATCAAAGTGCTTCGTTTCTCTCTCACGTAAACTTCTCCAACTGTTCCTGGAGCATGAACGTCAAAGCTCGCCTCCCATCTTAATAAAAGTGTGTACGAGACCTGGTGGAGAGGAATTAGACAGAGATTTGCTCTCCCGTAGCAGCCATGAACAGCCTACGTGGTAAAGCAGTAATACTTTCGGCACTGAGAAAGCTTTTAGGGTAAGTGAGTTTCCGTGAGTCTCTATCATAGAGCAAGGGAAGAAAGCACCCAGAAGCAGTGGGAGCTTGGAGGAAGATGTGGCTATCCTAGTGAAACCCACGGAGAGCTTCTATGAGGGGAGTACAGACCTCCTTGCAGGGCTAAAACCCACTGGGCAGAGTCCCAGGCTCAAGCTGAGAGCTTGAGCAGCTTGGGGCGGACTGGGGACCTGACCGTGGTCCTGAAAGAGAACCACTTTCTGATGATTCTAGTCTCAAAGCATCCATGCACCAAATCTTTTTTTTAAAAAAAAATATACAGCAGTTTGAGTGAAGTAAATACCCAAGAACAGTCGCCCTTACAACAAGATTGAAACTTTGTTTTATAATCAGGTCGACCTTCCTAAGGCCCACCTCCTCCTTCCCCAGCCGTCTTCCTGGAGCGTTCCGATGAAGAGGCATGCTGTCCTCGCTCAGGACCGGCAGTCAGGATGCTCCCAAACTCACAACACTTAATTCCACGCCGAGCTCACTCCTGGCAATTCCGATTCTACTGAGCATCTCTTAAACGGACACGGGAAATCATTTCTGTCCAAAAGACCTCACAGAATGGCGCTCCCGGGAAGAAACATTCCAAACTCTCCCCGTAATCTCGGGCGCCCTGAAACTCTAGATAAAGCGCATCGATATTCCCATTCCCATCTCCTAAAATTACGACCAGTTCTCTAAAGATGTACCCAAATACGGGGCCCGCGGGGAGCACAAGGGTCGTTTCCAACCTTATTAACCCAAGAAGTCCAGAGAAACAAGAAGACAATCCCGTGTTAATACTACATGGAACCGTGGGAGGAAAACCATTTCTCCGCAGGAAAGGTACCCGGGTAGGAACAGAAGGAAATTCACTCTTCGTCAAAAAGGAAGGCACCGGCAAAAGTCATGTATAAAATTTAAAAAATCCGAAAATATACTATGCAACTCCTCCTAGGCAAAGACTTACGTGTCCCGTCAAAGCGGGTGGCGATGGTGTCCAGGAAGGTGTTCTGGGGCGCCAGCAATCCCTTCATAACCGGCATCTTCCCAGCGTGGTGCGAAATTCTCCATCAAAGTTTGTCCCGAGGATGGATCCAGAGCAAAGTGCCAAGAAGGGAGAACAGGAACGTGATGACGGCAAGGGTGGGGGGTCTGGCGTGGCGAAGGGGCCGACCAAGGGAAGGAGGAGGATGAAAAGAGAGAGGCGGAGAG